GCTTAACCAAACTTTGCGCAGACGTTTGGCCACATAGGCGTGTCATAAAAAAAACAGGGGGCGGCGGTGATTCGCCGTAGGCGTCTGAAATATAGGCCTTCGGACCATCCCGCCATGGTGTCTGGGCTGTGTGTCAGGGGCCTCTTGGCTGTTCGTTGGGACCTCGTGGGAAGCTTCTCGGGGGCATCTTCGAGGCAGCTGTGAGGTCTCTTGGGGGCCGTTTTCAAGCTTCTTGGGGCCGCTTTCGGGCCTCTTGGGAGCCTCTTGGGGGGGCCTCTTGGGGGCCTCGTGGTGCCTCCTCCGTAGCCATTTTGGCTCAAGATGATCCACATTCGGGGGCAACGCCCTGGTGGACGAAGAGATACCGCTGGTCCGCGGCGAGCAGAGCGGTTTACCGTTCGGCAGTCGGGCGCGCCATGCCGGCAAGGAGCTGGCCCTGGCGCACAACCAGCGGCTGCTGGTCCTGCAGCTGCGGGACGGCGGGCAATTACGCAACTAGGAAGAAGTGTCGCAGCTGTGAGGCAGCGGCGCCGCGCCAAGTACACACGTTCAAGGAGGTGCTGCTCGGCCCGACGAAGCGTGAGGCGGCGCTGCAGCGGCAGTTGGACGCCATGCGGGAGGAGCTGCAGACCATCCAGCAGCAGGACCGCGGCGGCCACAGCGACGACGACGGAGAATAGCAGCCTGACTTGGACAAGCTCTACAAATGGGCGCAGTCCAGCAAGACGGAGTGGGGCGACACGTCCATCGAGTGCCAGCAGCTCAAGAGCGCTACTTGCGGGCCAAGGACGCCAAAAACAGTACCAAGCCGCATTCGGTGCAGTTCACCCAGGCTCGGATCGCCAGGGAGAAGCTCGAGAAAGAAGAGCGCACCATATACGACGAGGTCAAGCGGCACGAGAAGAGCACGCAGGAGGCCCGGGAGCGTCTCGCCAAGAAGCGCGAGCAGCTCGAGGTTGCACGCGCAAAGGGGCAAGAGCTCAAGGTGTCGGACTTCACCACTGAGGGCACAGGGTTCCTCACCGCCACGCAGAAGAAGTACGAGGTCGCCGTTGGGGGTAGTAGTGTCTCCAAGGAGGAGTACGACCAGCTCTTCGCCACCCTCAGCAAGGTGCTGGGCAACGTCAAGGAGGGGCCCAAGGATGACAGCAAGGACAACATGGGCACTGCGGAGCCCTGTGATGTCATGCTAGCGGGGGCGGTTGGGGCGCAGCGCGCCAGCGCAGGAGCAAGGAGCAGCACGTGTGCCCCAGCCTTAAACAAAGAGGAGCAGAATGGCCTGCAGCAGCGGGTCCAGCAGATGCCAGTGAGTCTCAACGTAGCGATGGTTGGAAGAGTGCGCCACTTGGCAGAGCACAACAAAGCTAGCAAGCGTTGCTGACAGGAAACGCCAGAAAAAAATATATCCTGGCGAAAGGGACCCAACATGATGCAATTGTGAATACATGAAATGTGAATATCTTCTCGGTGGAGCCCCTCCGGGGTGACGAAACGTACGAGGGTGTGCCGAAATGGGTGTGCGGGACGGCATGCCGGGAAATCACCCACTGGGACCTTCGGCGGAGCTCCCGATGGGCCATCGCGCCGCGTGAGGGGGCGTGCCGAAATGGGTGTGGGCTGACGCATGCGGGCGCCGGGCACTGGGGCCTTCGGCGGAGCTCCCTATGGGCCACGAACGTGTGAGGGGTGTGCCGAAATGGTGTGGGTGACGCATGCGGGCGCGGGCACTGGGGCCTTCGGTGGAGCTCCCTATGGAGCCACGAAACGTGTGAGGGGTGTGCCGAAATGGGTGTGGGTGACGCATGCGGGCGCGGGCACTGGGGCCTTCGGTGGAGCTCCCTATGGGGCCACGAAACGTGTGAGGGGTGTGCCGAAATGGGTGTGGGTGACGCATGTGGGCGCGGGCACTGGGGCCTTCGGTTGAGTGGGGCCACGCGTGTGAAATGGGTGTGGGTGACGCATGTGGGCGCGGGCACTGGGGCCTTCGGTGGAGCTCCCTATGGAGCCACGAAACGTGTGAGGGGTGTGCCGAAATGGGTGTGGGTGACGCATGCGGGCGCGGGCACTGGGGCCTTCGGGGAGCTCCCTATGGAGCCACGAAACGTGTGAGGGGTGTGCCGAAATGGGTGTGGGTGACGCATGCGGGCGCGGGCACTGGGGCCTTCGGTGGAGCTCCCTATGGAGCCACGAAGCGTGTGAGGGGTGTGCCGAAATGGGTGTGGGTGACGCATGCGGGCGCGGGCACTGGGGCCTTCGGTGGAGCTCCCTATGGAGCCACGAAACGTGTGAGGGGTGTGCCGAAATGGGTGTGGGTGGCGCATGCGGGCGCGGGCACTGGGGCCTTCGGTGGAGCTCCCTATGGAGCCACGAAACGTGTGAGGGGTGTGCCGAAATGGGTGTGGGTGACGCATGCGGGCGCGGGCACTGGGGCCTTCGGTGGAGCTCCCTATGGAGCCACGAAACGTGTGAGGGGTGTGCCGAAATGGGTGTGGGTGACGCATGCGGGCGCGGGCACTGGGGCCTTCGGTGGAGCTCCCTATGGAGCCACGAAACGTGTGAGGGGTGTGCCGAAATGGGTGTGGGTGACGCATGCGGGCGCGGGCACTGGGGCCTTCGGTGGAGCTCCCTATGGAGCCACGAAACGTGTGAGGGGTGTGCCGAAATGGGTGTGGGTGACGCATGCGGGCGCGGGCACTGGGGCCTTCGGTGGAGCTCCCTATGGAGCCACGAAACGTGTGAGGGGTGTGCCGAAATGGGTGTGGGTGACGCATGCGGGCGCGGGCACTGGGGCCTTCGGTGGAGCTCCCTATGGAGCCACGAAGCGTGTGAGGGGTGTGCCGAATTGGGTGTGGGTGACGCATGCGGGCGCGGGTACTGGGGCCTTCGGTGGAGCTCCTATGGGGCTACGAAGCGCTGTACTGGGTGGGTAAAGCGCAAGGAAGAGGGGGAGGAGGGAGGAGGAAGGGGAGGAGGAGGAGAGGAGAGGAGGGGAGAGGAGGCGGAGGGGGCAGCGGGAGGAGGAGTGAACGCGGGGCGCTGTCTCTTCAAAACGAGGACCCAACACCACAGGATGGTTGGGAACAAAAAAAAACATGACCGCCTCACCCGGTTGACGTTTAGCATCTCGGGTTGGGGCACCATCAGGGAGAGGATCGAAGGGGCGGTGCAGGGTGCCTTGCAGTGCTACGCAGTGCAGGGGCGCCGCCTCACGGATGACAAGCTGGCTGTCGTGTCGCAGAGCATGAAGGTGCGGGGGTGCCAGTTCGGCGGCGTAGCAGCCAACGCTGCGACGGGTCCGAACGGGGAAGCAGGCGCACCAGCGGGTGTCGCAATGGTAGCTCCACGCAGCATCGGCATGATACACCTGTGCGGCAAGGAGAAATAGGGCATCTCGCCGCGGGCAAGTCCAGGACGCGCTACGGCGGCGTGGTTGTCGGTCGGCAAAGGCGCGATTTACGCCTCAGTCTACTTGTGGGCAGCTGAGGGCATGACGTATAGGAACACGGAGATCAACAACAAGGTGACAGGGCAGTTGGAGACGCTCGGGGTGCCGTGGATCATCGGTGGCAGTTTTCAAGTCGAATCCAGGAAGATGGCCGAAGTGGAGAGCGTGAAGGCGGCCAGAGCGCGAGTGGTAGCGTCAGGGGCCGAGTGCGGCACGCGCAGGCACGCGTGTGGTGTCGGCGAGATCGGCTATTTCATCGTGTCGGACCAAGTCGTCGGGCAGGTGATGCAAGTCAGGGTTCAGGAGGAGTGGCCGTCGGCGCCCCGCAAGCCTGTGGGGCTCACCATGCGACTCAAGGTGCGCCAGCGGTTGGTCAGGGTGCTGGAGAAGCCGAAGGCGCTCCCCGAGCTGGCGATCGGGCGCGCGCCAGCGCCGCCGCGATACAAGGGGATCGAGAGTTTCAGCGCGCAGGAGGAGGCCAACAGTACCTGGGCGACATACATGCGGACATTCGAGCAGGAGGCCTTCGCCGCGCGGGGCATGGACTGGGCTGATGACCATCCATCAGCTGGGCGAGCAGATGAGCCGACGTGGAGGATAAAGCCGCTGAGTTTCGGGGGCGGGGGCCCGCCGCCAGCAGCGCGCGAGGCAGTTTGGTGGAGATGGCTGGCTCGGACTTTGCAGAGCCTGCAGGGGGCGTGCAACCGCGCCGGGGCGGCGCGCACTGAGGAGGTTCGGAGGCGCAGGCTCATGGAAGGAGGCAATGGCTCAGGGGCGCCAGTTCGTCATCGGCAGGCAGCGGACCAAGCGCATCGGCACCGAAGAGCAGGGCAAGTGACAAGCTAGATGTGGTTTACTAGCAGCCGGACTGCTACGAGGCGACAGACAGCTGCCAGTGGTGCAGCAGGGGGCCCAGGAGAGGCACGAGAAGCTGAAGGACTACGACCAGCAACTCCTCAAAATGAGCGCAGAGCCAAGTGGGCAGACAAGCTGGAGGAGGCAGCGTCAAGGGCGGCAGGTGGACTTCGCAGGTTGAGTAAGGCGGCCACGGTGTGACGACCACGCAGAGCGACAACAATGGGGGAACCAGCGGGCCCCGTAGCGGCAGCGGAGCACTCGCTCCAGGAGTGGACCGAGATCTGGCGAGTGGGCGAGCGCATCCAGAAAGGGGCCGAAGCCTTGAAAGTTCGGGGGGCGCGACCAGAGTGAGGAGTTCACGGAGCAGGATGTAGAGGAGCTCAAGGTCGTCGCGAGAACTTTCAGAGAGAAGACGGGCATCGGGGTGGACAGGTGTCACGCGTCCATGTAGCAGGGGGCGTCGGACGACGCATACCGCAGGTTGTTGGACATCTACCTAGCGGTGGAGAGGACGCTGCGCTGGCCGATCCACATGAGCACTGTGCTGTTCTTCGCGATCCCGAAGCCCTTCACCACCGATAGGGTAGTCGGACTGCCCCCAACAGCGATCCGCGCGCGGGAAATCATGCGGGCGTAGTATATGATCAAGTGGGCGAGGGATAACCACATGAGCTGGGTGTGCACGAGCTACGGCAAGGCGGCCGAGGACGCAGCGTGGGAGGTGCTGCTCAGCCACGAGACGGACGAGTCAGAAGACCAGAGTGAGGAAATGCAGGCGACGATCACTGCGGTCTTGGACCTGGTGAAGGCTTTTGAGAAGGTGAGCCTCCACGTGCTGTGGGAGGCTGGGAAGCAGTTGAACTGTAACGCAGGAGTGCTGGCGGTGGCGTGCTCGTATTTCGCAAAGACGAGGCGACTGATCGTGGGCGATTCGGTCTCCAGCGAGACGAGAACGGTGGGCGCCATAATAGCAGGTAGCACATTTTCGGTGTGCTTCCTGAAGACGGTCGTTCAATCTACGATGGGCGACCTCGTTGTGGAGAGGCCGCGTGCGAGATGGCGCATGTGCGTGGCTGACCTGTGCGCGAGGGTGAGACAGCAGCACAAGTACATCGTTAACGAGTTCAGCGGGACGATCGACGCGTGCTTCGCGGTGTTCGAGCAGTTGGGGCTGAAGTTCTCGGTGACAGCGCAGGCAAATGAGCGGTTATGGCGAGCGCGAAGTGGGCGCACAAGGCGGTGGCAAAGGACATGCAGGACAGGGGCATTCCACTTGTGAGGGCGTGCCCATACCTTGGCGTCGACATCGTAGCGCATGGCGCGGCGGCCAAGAGCGGCAAACACTATAACATCATGATGGCCAGGAGCAGGCGGCTGCTCAACGTTGAAGGATCTGGGCGCAAGATGGCGAGAGGCGTCGGTTTGGTATTCAAGTACGGGCTGAAGAGGTCGGTGCTGCACGGCTGCGAGTGCTTGGGGATGCCAGATTACCAGTTGAGACAACTAAGGCGAGAAGCAGGGCGTCTATTGCCAGGAGGCCGAGGAACCAGGAGTTTGACGTTGCAGTTGGCACTGCTCATGAGGAGCCCACGTGCGAGGTCACGGGGGCGCCGATTGTCAGGTGGGCGCGAGCTGTGTGGCAGACAACACAAGCGCAGGAGGGCGCAAGCAACGACGGGGTCAACATTGCGCACATGCTGCAGCAAACGTGGCGGCGGCAACAACAGGAGGTCGGCATGAAGCCGGCTTGGGCGCGAGTGCGAGGACCAGCAGGAGCGGTCATCCTGTCCATGAGGAGGGCGAGTTGGATCTGGCCAGCATGGCATACGTTCGTCACCAAGGAGGGCTACGAGCTGAACATGATGGATGCTTGCCCCATGGACGTTGCAGCTATGTTACGCAAGGAAGTGCAGAGTAAGCTGTTGGAGGACTGGGCCAAGGCCGAGGAGTACCAGAGGTTGAGCCCAGCGCCTTTGCTGGCGCCAGCGGTTGCCCAGTTGCGTGCCAAGGAGTTCCCACAACACGCAAAGAACGCGGCGAAGAAGGCGTTCCTGGGCGGGGCTTGGACGATGGCGAAGATAAGCCAATGCAACATCGTGCCGACAGACATCTGTTTGGCGTGCGGCACGGCAGTAGGGACGGAACACCACAGGTACTACCAACGTGAGGCGCTCAGGGAGCAGCGGTTGCAGGCGCAGGCGGAGTGGCAGACCGTGGCGGAGCTGCAGGACACGGAAATGTTGTGGACGCGTGGGCTGGTCCGCACTCCAGAAGCGGACTGAACCTTCGTGGGCATCGGAGAGGACCAGTACTGCGGCCAAGAGGTGCAAAGCGATGAGGACCACTTCACGGGCGACATCGTGTGCGACGGATCAAAGCTGAGCTACAGCGAATGGGCTCAGACTGGATGAGCAACGATGTCACTCACGGACGAGGGCAACGCGAATATGCAGCTGTGGGGGCCGCTACCGTGTACGCTGCCAATCCACAGGAGAGTCAAGCGTGCGGAGATGTAGGCTTTCCTGAAGGTGCTGGAGCGGATGATGCCGCCAGGTCGCATCTTCACGGGCCACAAGGGCATCCTTGAGGGCTTGCAGAAAGGCGAGCGGTGGTGCACGAGCTGGAAGAGGCCGCATGCTGACATCTGGAAGCGGATCTGGCACAAGGTAAAGGACCTGGACTTGGACATCGGGTGCGTGAAGCACGCGAAGGCGCACAGGTCCAAGACAAAGATCGGGCAGTTGGAAGGCGCCGACCTGAACATTGCGAAGGGCAACAGGGAGGTGGACCTGCTGGCAAAGGCAAGGGCATAGATGGACGCCAACTTCGGTAAGCACCAAGCGCTGGAGGATCTTGCCGTGCGAGTACGGTGGGCGCTTCAGAACGTGGAATGGTGGTATCAGAAGATGGCGGGTGAGTGGCCAGACGCCCCACAACGCGAGAAAGGAGTACCACGACGGCGTGTCGCGAAGCCGCTGATTGTGCTCACCAAGAATGAGGTCGTGGAGAAGGACGGTTGGCAGGTGTGCATGAGATGCGGGCTAAGAGCAGCCTCGCGACGGATGCGCAAGAAGCTGTGGCAGGCGGAGTGCATCAAGCCGAGATGGAAAACGACAGGGGCAAGCAGTTCAGGAGCGGGGAGTTCACTGGAGGCCAGCGTGGCCATGGCCGCTGCGGCCGCCACGGTCGCCGCTGGTGGTGCTGGTGGACGCTCCGTGCCCGAGGACGATGCTCAGGGAGAGGCACGTGGACGACCACACAGTGTTGAGGTCCACGGGCCGTATGTGGTGTGCGTGGTGTGCGGAGCACACTCGGCGAGGAGGCGTGCAGGGCTAGGGATAGCATGCCCAGGGCCCTTGCAGCGCCGAGGAAGATCGAGCAAGTACGACGCGAAACGCAAGAAGAGGGACAGGATCCTGGTGGGAAAACGCCCGCAAACAGGGAAGCCGCTGGACCAGGGGCTCGTTCTACCAGTGCTGCGTGGGTAGCACACTGAACGTGATGGTGCAGCTGGGCTGTTTCACTATGCGGGCATGGTGAACGAGATGATGCTGGAGAGGGGCTCCAGCTGAGCAGGCCAGCCAAGCCTGTTGGCGTGCCGCCGTGCGCGGCGGACGGGCCTCGTTGCGGGTTACCGCTGGGGGCTTGGGGGAATAATAAAAGGCCTCGTGGTGCCTCCTCGGGGCCTCTTAGGGCCTCCTGGGGGCCTGCGGGGGCGGAAGGCTGGAGCTGTGGGATCGTGTCCCCCCTCGTTTTTTTGTGGCTTGGTCCGCACGCGCATTGGAGCGCCTCCACGTCAAAATACGCAAAATGGAACCACACAAAGATCACATCCCGAAGCTGCCCAATCGATGGACAAGGGACTTCACCGTGCGAGTACTGGCCAAAGATAGGACTTGCTGGGCCCCTGCATCGACCGGACCATGGGTTGGATCGATGAACATTTGTACAGAGGGTCAGCCTGTACAAAGGGCTACGCCGCGTTAGGACACGGGGGAGAAGCGATGAGACTGCTGTGGTGCCCTATTGGGGTTATTTGTTTTCACATTTTCCTCGATCCTCCCTTGCGAGGCAGGGTCGCTCCCGCTAATCCGAGGACAGCTTCAAACGGTTAGAGAGACGGCACTTCGCCGCTCGCGTGCAGGACAAAGATGCCTGCTCAAAGAACTGTATGTTCGTTTTCTTCTGCCTCGCAATCGTGGCTTTGACGGGGTCCTGAGCTTGGGTCGCAACGCAAACAACCCGACGATAGCTTCACCCATCCAGCCGGCTAAGAACGCTTACCGAAGGAAATCCATCGCACTGGAATGGGAAGATCACGGCGGCAACCTACACGGTCATAGCCGGGGGGCCTGGCATTCAAATCAAAATGGAAGGGGAAGGATGAGGAGAAAGAGGAGAAGGACTGTCTACCATGACCCTGGCGATGGCAGAATTCCGCAGCCTCGGGATCGGGATGGGAGGGTCGCTCCCGCGAGTCCGAAGAGAGCTTCGCACGAATGGAATGACTGCACTCTACGCTCGCGTGCAGGGAAGAATGACTGCCTCGCGTGCATGCCTGCATGGCAATCTAAACATTCGGTGGCCTCGGGACCTGGATGAGAGAGAGGGCCGCTCCCGCCAGTTCAAGAAGGACCCCCAATCGGGAAGGTGGCGTTGCGACGCTCGCGAGCAGGACGAAAACGCCTGCCCTCACGCACTCCCTGCCATGGCCTCGGTGATTGTGCCGTATACAAAAACTTGAATCATTCGCGCGCTTCGCGCGCGCTGAGGTTCTAACCAAGCACAACATCGTGATCGTCATCATCATCGTCGCCGCCGTCATTATCATCATCGTCGTCGTCGTCATCACCATCATCAACGGATTCGTTGTCGTCCTCCTCATAATCACCGTCATCGTCGTCGCCATCGTAGTCATAGTCGTCGTCGGCTCGCCACGGTCACACGAACGGCTCGTCACTGTCACACGAACGGGTGTCGTAAGAACAACCCATCAAGTCATCTAAACGACTCTGCCCTATCACACGAACGACTCATCCCTGTCATGCGAACGACGCAACCCTGTCATACGAACGACTCACGATACCATGATAACGACCTACTATTACTCAAGTCCAGCCGTGGCTCCCCGGGGCCATGGCCGGGGTCCCCACCTAGTGCATGCGACCGAGGACGATAGTGAGGGGGATGACGAGATCGAAATCTCCAACGCTCTCGGATGCGGCCAATACCGGCCACCTCTACCTAAAGGGGCTGCTTGTCGTGACGCAGTACCATCTTCGGTCTCGCACGCATCAGTCGACAGAACTGTATCGTGCCAAGGCCTGTCCAGCCGAGCCAGGCCAACAAAAGTCAACAACCGAATCCAGCGAACCTCGCGGCGAGCAGATGGCTGCAAACTTTGGGGGCACTTTGATGCCCGCTGTGTGAAGTCGCACACGGCGCGCAGCACTGAAACAGACTTTCGCCTGATCAGAAAGAAGCCAACCACATGTCTAAGGAAGTGTTCCATCTGTCTGCTCGTGACGGGTTGACCTCCTTCGAGTGCCTCGCAGACCTTGCGTAGGCGCTCTCCTCGTTCAGGCCGATCGCGAATGGTCCAATATTCCCCATCAGTAACGCGTCCCAGCGAAAAAGACAGGAGCTCAGGGTCGGTCTCCTCATGGACCGTGCGCTGCACGAAACGAAACCGAGCGACGATGACATCCTGAGCCTTCTGAACCTCCTCCTTCCTGATGCCCGCGACATTGACGTTTCTTTTGCATCGCATGCATCTCACACGTTTCGTGGCCCAGTGCTGCCGCCCGCATGCGTCACGCACACTCAATTCGGCACACCCCTCGCACGTTTCGTGGCCCCATAGGGGGCTCCACCGAAGGTCCCAGTGGGAAAGCCCGCATGCGTCCCGCACACACATTTCGGCACACCCCTCGCACGTTCTTTTGCCCCATGGGGAGCTCCACCGAAGGTCCCAGTGGGTGTGCCCGCATGCGTCCCGCACACCCATTTTGGCACACCCCTCACACGTTTCGTGGCCCCATAGGGAGCCCCACCGAAGGTCCCAGTGGGTGTGCCCGCATGCGTCCCGCACACCCATTTCGGCGCACCCCTCACACGTTTCGTGGCCCCATAGGGAGCTCCACCGAAGGTCTCAATGGGTGTGCCCGCATGCAACCCGCACACCCATTTCGGCCCACCCCTCACACGTTTCGTGGCCCCATAGGGAGCTCCACCGAAGGTCCCAGTGGGTGTGCCCGCATACGTCCCGCACACCCACTTCGGTACATCCTTCGTACGGTTCGTGGCCCCATAAGGAGCTCCACCGAAAGTCCCAGTGGGAAAGCCCGCATGCGTCCCGCACACCCACTCCGGTACATCCCTCGCACGTTCCGCGGCCCCATAGGGAGCCCAACCGAAGGTCCCAATGGGTGTGCCCGCATGCGTCCCGCACGCCCATTTTGGCACACTCTTCACACGTTTCGTGGCCCCATAGGGAGCTCCACCGAAGGTCCCAGTGGGTGTGCCCGCATGTGTACCGCACACCCATGTCGGCACACCCCTCACACGTTTCGTTGCCCCATAGGGAGCTCCACCGAAGGGCCCAGTGGGTGTGCCCGCATGCGTCCCGCACACCCCTTTCGGCACACCCTTCATACGTTTTGTGGCCCCATAGGGAGCTCCACCGAATGTCCCAGTGGGTGCGTGCGCATGCGTCCCGCGCACCCATTTCGGCCCACCCCTCACACGCTTCGTGGCCCCATAGGGAGCTCCACCGAAGGTCCTTCTGGGTGTGTAATTTCGGCACACCCCTCGCACGTTTCGTGGCCCCATAGGAGCTCAGCCGAAGGTCCCAGTGGCACAGTCCGCATGCGCCCCCGCCATTCATTTCGGCCCACCCCTCACACGTTTCGTGGCCCCATAGGGGCCCCGCCGACGGTTCCAGTGGAACAGTCCGCATGCGTCCCCGCCACTCATGTCGGCACACCCCTCACACGTTTCGTGGCCCCACAGGAGCTCCGCCGAAGGTCCCATTGGCACAATCCGCATGCGTCCCTGCCGCTCATTTCGGTACACCCCTCACACGTTTCGTGGCCCCATAGGAACTCCACCGACGGTCCCGGTGGCACAGTCCGCATGCGTCTCCGCCATTCATGTCGGCCCACCCCTCACACGTTTCGTGGCCCCATAGGAGCTCCGCCGAAGGTCCCGGTGGCACACTCCGCACGCGTCCCCGCCGTTCATTTCAGCACACCCCTCACACGTTTCGTGGCCCCATAGGAGCTCCGCCGAAGGTCCCCGTGGCACAATCCGCACGCGTTCCCGCCACTCACGTCGGCACACCCCTCACGCGTTCCGTGGCCCCACAAGAGCTCCGCCGAAGGTCCAGTGGCACAGTCCGCATGCGTTCCCGCCACTCATGTCGGCACACCCCTCACACGTTTCGTGGCCCCATAGGAACTCCCCCGACGGTCCCCGTGGCGCAGTCCGCATGCGTCCCCGCCATTCAGTTCGGCACGCCCCTCACACGTTTCGTGGCCCCATAGGAGCTCCGCCGAAGGTCCCAGTGGCACAGTCCGCATGCGTCCCCGCCATTCATGTCGGCACACCCCTCACACGTTTCGTGGCCCCATAGGGAACTCCACCGAGGGACCCCGTGGCGCAGTCCGCATGCGTCTCCCTTGCCCAGTACAGCGTTACGTGGCCCCATATGGAGCCCCGCCGCAGGTCCCAGCCAGCCAGCTAGCTCTCTTTGCTCCGCGCAGCGGGCGACCCGCGCGCGTTGCTGGGACCCCTCCGGGGCGACCTGCGCGCG